TATAGCTTATGCTGTTGTGTAGGCTATAGTGGGGTATCCCATAGGGGGTACAGCCCAATAAGGGTTTCCTATTTGTACTCACTTCATTCATAGTTCATTCATTCTCGTTTCAGTTTTCTCATAGCATTCGAGTGGATATACTATAGTGACGTGGCCCGCGGGGAGAAAACGTGGGCGCAGTTTTGGGCAGATCTCATCGAAAGATTAAAGCCGATAAATTCGGTGTACATGGCGCGGCAGCAGATTCACCGACACAAGCAAATGGCGCATGTAGCACTGTACACGCAGCAGATGGAGCAACTTTTTAATCGCATCACCGACCTGACCGAAGGCAAAAAAATCCAGGCGTACACAGATGGGTAAAAAATGGAGATTCGCCGACAAGTCATTGCCGCGAACTACTGTAGCTACCGCGACATTGTACATGCAGCCGAACGATATGACGCGTTGACTCGTGGTCAACCCAAAACACGACGTTACGGGCCAAACCATACATTTGGCACGGAGCGATCGGCACCCCCCACGTTCGCCAAACCGATGGATATCAAGAGATTCGACGGGAAGCAGCAGCCGACAAAATGAGAATTTTGCGGCGCAGCCGGACATCATATCCTGTCGTGCTACAACATGAAAAAAGCACGTGCGGCATTGCTGGGCGGCAACAGTACAGCACCCTCGAAGTAAAAAAACGGGAATCGCCAATAGCCGCGGATCGACCTGGCGATCGCGTAAAGATCCGAAATGAGAAAAAGGGCGATGCCGTGGCGACTTCGGAGCGGGCGAAAAAAGGAGAAAATGATGGCGTGAATATAAAACGTCACGACCGGCCAGCATCAGGGGAAATCGTTGAGGCGAATGGAGGCTCCGCGAAAAAAGACTCTGCTCCGAGAAGGAAACTCCAACCGAACACCTACGAAAGTAAGAATTCGATTAAGTTATCCTACAAAGATACTTTAACCAATAATAATACTTCTCGTGGTTTTCAAGCCTTTGAAAAATTCAGGGGAGATTTAGAGGCCAAGAAAAAGCCTTTAGAAGGTACCTGAGAAGTTGGGCAAAGCATTACGGAGCGTATAAAAGGGTCGTGCGTTCCGTGGAGTTAATATTCTCTCCCCGCAGCACAGAGTTAAGGATCCCCGTTGCCCTCTGGTGAAGCCTACACAGCTGCAAAGGCTTAGAGGAAAATTCCAGGCTCAGGAGAAGTTGTACAAGCCTCGGAAAAATCATCCTACCTCCCAGGTGAAGTTGGAAAGTGCTGAGTCAGGTATAGGAAATATGGATGGTAATCTTTTTTATGTACCCAATGATCCTATTAATGAGACCCTCTTTGGCTACTCAGCGCAGCAGGAATCACTACTCCTCAAGGACGATGCCTCCAGGCACTGGTTGTCAACGGTGCATCTCACTCAGTATGTGACCGTGGGACGTTGGAGAAAATTGAAGAACCATCGGAGGAGACCAAGTTCACGGCAACAATGGTGGACGGTACGAAACTTCCCATCCACGGCGAAGCATCACTGCAACTACACATATGGGCGTTGAGGTGGAAGTCGACGTTGCTGATCACGAACATCACTGGACAGACAACCGATCCGTCCATCCACCTCTCCCTATGGTGCACCAGTTCTCTTCACTCCAAAACTAGACGGCAGTTTACGGATGTACATTGACTACCGCGCACTGAACAAAAAGATAGTTAAAAACAAATATCCCATACCGCGCATAGATGATCTACCAGACCAACTGCGTGGTGCAACCGTCTTTTCGAAGCTAGACCTATGGTCGGGTTACTGGCAGATCAAGATGGCAGACAACTCGGTCCACAAGACGGCGTTCCGTACAAGATACGGCTCCTACGAATACTTGGTGATGCCGTTCGGACTCTGCAGCGCACTAGCAACGTTTCAGGCGGAGATGAATCACATCTTACGACCCCTACTGGACGAGTGCGTAGTGGTGTATCTGGACGACATTCTTATCTACTCCAAGAACATGAAGGAGCACGTGGAGCATCTGCGGAAGGTGTTCGAGATCCTGCGGAACAACAAGTTCTACGTGAAGCTCTCAAAGAGCGACTTCGCCCTGAAGAAGGTGCAGTTTCTCGGGCACATGGTGAGTGCCGAGGGCGTACACGTGGACCCGCGGAAGATCGAAGCCGTCAAGAAATGGAAAGTACTGGAGAACGTGAAGGAGTTGCAGCAGTTCCTAGGCTTGGCCAACCACTACAACAGGTTCGTGCCGCAGTACGCTAAGATAGCAGCGCCACTAACCGACCTACTGAAAAAGGATACGCCCTACAAATGGGATACCCCTCATCAGCAAGCCATGGAGCAGCTATAGACAGCACTGACTACAGCGCCAGTACTCATCCTACCAGACCCGGACAAAGTCTACGTGGTGGAAGCAGACGCTAGTGACCAAGCAGTCGGAGCAGTACTGATGCAAGATCACGGACGAGGTTTGCAGCCCATCGCCTACCTCTGTAAGAAGCTACACGGAGGAGAACTGAACTACCCCATCCATGACAAGCAAGCCTTAGCGATAGTCATAGCCTTGAAGGCGTGGAGGTGTTACCTAGAGGGAGCCAAGACTACAGTATATGCTGACCACTGCAGTCTTAAATGCCTGAAGTGATAGGCGATGCTCTCACGACAACAGGTGCGGTGGGTGGACTTCCTGGAAACTCACTTCCACTATGACATCGTCTATAAGCCCGGGCTACAGAACAAGGCAGACGCATTGAGCCGCCCCGGTCATGTAGCCGGCATCCAGCTCGACGAGATGAACCCTCTACTCAAGGGTCTATTCCAACATGGGTACTCCGTGGACGCAGAGATTGCTACGGCAGACAAACAGAAGCTGTTACAGTGGGAGAAAGACTAAGCCGTAAAGAAGGACACAGGGAATATTTGGGTACTGAGCTATGCCCCGCTCCGACAGATTCTGCTTGAGGAGTTTCACGACGTACCATATGCGGGAAATTTCGGGAGCAACAAAACGTTAGCAGGAATAGCAAAGTATTCTTACTGGCCTGGGATGGCAGCAGGCGTGCAGCAGTTTGTCACCTCATGCGACACGTGCCAGCGGATGAAGAGTAGCAAGCGGAAAAAAGCAGGGCTACTTTAGCCTCTACCCGTACCGGAGCAGCCATGATGAGTCATCAGCCTCGACTTTATCACAGGACTTCCTTCGACCTCACGAGGGCATGACGCCATCCTCGTAGTGATCGATAAGTTCTCCAAAATGGGTCACTTCATCGACCAACGCCACGGCTACAGCTAAAGCAACTGCTCGCCTCTTCTTCGACCGCATCATCACCATCCACGACATCCCCGCTACACTCATCTCAGACAGAGATCCCAAGTTTGCAAGTAAGTTCTAGAAGGAGCTCATGGGACTGTTGAGGACTAAGCTTGCGATGTTTTCAGCTTACCATCCCAAGTCTAACGGACAGACAGAGCGACTCAATCAGGTGGTTGAACAGGGAAAACTCCTTTCTTCCTGTGTTACGGACGGGAACCACTTACACCACAGCAGCCAACCACACCGGCACACGTCCAAGCCGCACATGACTTTGTCACCACCATGCAGCAGCTATGGGAGAAGACTCAACAACGTCTCACCACAATGCAGACCTCCCAGAAGCAGTATGCCGATCGCCAGTGATGTGATCACACCATAGCAGTTGGAGATCAGGTGCTCCTCGACACGCGCAACTTGAACCTGTCCCACCTACCATCCAAACTCCGGCCTCACTTCTGTGGTCCCTTTTTCGTTGAGGCACAGGTGACACCAGTAACATTCCGCTTGCGCTTACCTCCTACGTGGAAGCTAGACAACGCTTTCCATGTTCAGCTACTGAAGCCATACAAGGATCCCAACCAACAATTCCAGGGACGGCAGCTACCGCCACCACCACCTGTTCTCATGCAGGATGAACCATAGTATGAAGTGGAACACGTTCTCACTCATCGGCGCCACGGCGGCAAGACCCTCGAGTTCCTGATACGCTGGAAGGGATACGACCCCACTGAGGACAGTTGGGTTGTAGAAGCTGGTATGGGCAACGCACGCCGTGCTCTCAAGGACTATCTTGTCCAGGAGGGTGTATCTCACGCCACCCAGCTTTGAGGGGGGGACGTGTGAGAGTACGATGGCTTATGCTGGCTTTGCTAGCTTGCCTGAACTTTATTATGCTATATCTAGTTTGGGTTTATTTTATCATGCATAGACATGCTTGATTTCCTAGGCTAGCTGCATTCCTATATTTTATTATAATTATAGCACCGAACCAGGTTACGTGTACCGAACTCAAGCCTATTCGGTTTCCACCGAATTGCTTTCTACCGAGTTCGGGAAGGTTCTGTTCGGGACGCTTCGCGACCCTCAGAACATTCGCGTAACACTTGGGCTACTGGCCTTGTGTCGAGACTATATATAGCCTCGTGTTGTACCCAGGTGGATCATTGAATTCAAGCTCTCTTTTCTTAGCTTGTCCTAGATCCTCACAGCTTTTGTCAAATTTCCGCGCCTTCCTTTACACCTTTTCCCAATTTGTCACGATTCTTGCTATTCGCAGATAGTTTCCGATTTGCCACGTTTCCTCGCATTGTTTCTCGACTCCCCCCTCTTCCCATCTTTGCGTGCAAGCGTACGCAAGTCGCGACGTGCTCAACATTTACAATGGGCTGTGCACGTCTGACGTGAACCACGCGGCGGTGGTGGTGGGCTTTAACTACACGGGGCCGGACCTCGAAGGCAGCTACTGGATCATGGTACACCACTGGGGCGACCGCGGCTACATGTACCTCGCTATGACGCCTGACGTGCATGGGAAATGCGGCATCCTATCTACGTTCCCATATCTGTTATTGCTTGACTCAGCTGTTCCTCCAGTTGCCTCTGTTCTCCTTCCGAAGGGGAGTCCCCTCCTGCCGGGTAATCCACCAAATTTGCTCCTCCTCTCGCCGTTCCCCCATTTTCTGCGTAGAACTTCCGCCATGTACCTGGTCTACTTCTCGTCTGCGGAGCAACCAGCGCGTTTTGCAACTGACAAGCGCGGCAAGTGGAAAATCGAGAAGGAGGACGACCTCTCGTCGTTGCTCTTCTCCTCCACCACTCCCATTCCAATTTCGTCCCCACTGGCTACGACGTGCGCGGGGATGATCAACCCGTGCGGCGAGGGCAGTTGCTACATGAACGGCAGAGTACTGCGGTGCAACTGCAGCGCGATGGCAAATTTTGTTGAGGTGTTGGGATTGCCCACGTCCAAGTGCATGCCGTGAAGCCCCTGTACGACAGCTGCTGTGAATCCCTACAATGGCGGAATGTGCAGCGATGTGGGCGACGCGACGTACACGTACGTGTGCACTGCGGGTTACGCCGTCGGCGCTGCTGTGGACGGTTCGCCGACGTGTGTTCCCGCAGCTAGCCTCGCGAAGTCCTCTGTTACCAACCCTGGCAAAAATTGCACTTTTGCCGCGATAGCCTTTGGTATTTGGACCACCACACTGACAAACCTGAACACTCCCATAAAAAATTGCACTTTTGTCGCGACATCTTTCGGAATTTCGACCACCACGCTGACAAACCTGAACGTTTTCATCAATTGCTCCGTTACAGAATACCTCACTCCCGGAATTGCGCTTACAGTCTCGGCAGCAGTGACTTCCTTATCCTCATAGTGCACCAAGACATACACCGTCCGGCCATCCGACGTGTGTGGCAAATACTTTCTTCAATGATCTTTCAATTCCCTTATGGTAAGCACCCTGGCTTGTCGTGCAAGCGCTTGTTCAAGTCACAGCAAATATGCCTTTAAATGGTTACCGCATCATCAACATCGTCGGCTCCACAGTGTGGGCAAAGCGTCCCTGTGGTCGTGGGAGACACATGTGATTCTGTCGCTGTAAAATATTCGGTTAACAGCACAACATTTGCCTCGTGAGTTTTCCAAACTCAGCCACGAGTGTTGTGAATAAAATATCCCCACCTTGCTCTGATTTCATCTTCTCTTCCTATCCACCACTCTTCCTTCCGATTTCAAAATTGCACCACTGTTTCGCATCCATGACTCCTTCAATTCCCCTTGAGTCACTGCTTCTTGCTTCCTGCATATCCATGTTACTCAGTCCAGAGCCTCTCGCTGAAAATCTGCTCTTGCACATGTACAGGCTTAACCCAGGCGTCAACTGCAACAGCAATCTTGCAGTGGGCTCATACGTCTGTGTGGCACCATCAGCACCTTCGGTAAGCACAGAGAACATTGCTCCCACTTTTCATTCTGATAGCGATTCTCCTACCACTTAAAACCAAACATTGTTTCTCCATATCTCATGCAATTTGTGTCTCCTCCCCCTCTTCTCCCAACCCCAATGTTTCTCTGTGCCTGTCTTCAGACCACCATCAGCTGCACGGGGTGGTACCGGGTGATGCAGGGCTACACATGCCCCTCCATCTGGAATGGAGCCAACCTCACCATGTCCATGTTCCTCTCCATCAAGCCGGGTATCCAGATGAGCCATCAACCGGGCATCCAGGTAACTTCCCTGAAGCTTCCCATACCGACCATTGGCATCCTTCAACGACCTCACACCACTCCGTCCACTTCCCCACCCTTCCCGGCCCTTCCTCCCTGCCTGCCCAGCTAGTGCCTGGGTCCTTGCACCACTCTCTACTTCTTCCAGCCCTCTGCACCTTTCTCTTCCTTTAAATTCCATTTGCACTGCTAGCCTCCTTACCTCTTGCTCCCTTGCCATTCCCCCCTTCTCCCCTCTTCCTTTCCATGCAGTGCCAGGCGCCCTACCTGGTGGTGGGCCAGCATGTCTGCATCGACTAAGCCATCCTCACCACCATGCAGCGAAACCCAAATGCCAACTACTCCATCTACACCGCCCGTGCTGGCGATACCCTCTCCACCATCTCCACCTTCTGTCAAACATATGTGTATGTTACTTTGATAGGCTATAGTGATGCTAGCTATAGGGGGTAGAACCCTTTTATGTTTCCTTTTCGTACTCCCATTCCTTGCTAGTCTCCACATTCTTGTTTCCATATTTTAACATGGTACCAGAGCAGCACGGTAACGGGTGTCAAGAGAGCGTAGGTGCGTGATGATGTCCGCTACAGTGGTGAAGTCGGCGAGCTCAGGAAAGAAGAGCTGCAGCGCAAGGCGGCCTATTGTGGCAGAAGACGGGGAAGAACAGCGTTTGACTACAACGTCGTAAAGTGCTTTGACCGTCTTAAGCTGGCAAAAATGAGTGCGCTGGTCGGGCGGAATGTAGTTACAGATAGCAAGGGCCGCAGTGGCATCACGAGCGGTCCACTGCGAACAAACTTTCTGGTCTGCAGACTCAGTAGGTGTAGCGAGGGACCCGGAGTTATGCTCAAACAATGAGATATCCTCCCTAGTGACGCTCTTATGGTACCACTCTAAGTCCTCGAGCCTATTCTCAAAGTCAATCGGGTGCCCCTCGGTGTCAAAGGTGAGCAAATTAGGAGTAGCCATAATAGCAGTAGCGGCAGTGGCAGCAGCAACAGCGCTCGGCAGCAGCAGCAGCGCTCAGTAGCGGTGGCTGCGCTTTGCAGCAGCAGCAGTACATGAAGCAGTAGCAGCTGCAGAAGTGATAGCAGCAGCAGCACGGACGGGCAGGGAGCAAGCAGGGTGCACGTCGAGTGCGCGCGGGCAGGGCGCAGGTCGGGCGCACGCTGCTGGCAGGCAGCGCGTTTGCGGAGCAGGGCAGCGCGCGGGTGGGCAAAGTGCACTGGCGAGGCCGGCAAAGCACGTGCGGGCAGCGCGACTACAAGCTGCACTCTTTCGACTTCTCGACAGCCTTCGTGCAGGGCAGCCTTCACGAGGGTATCTGGTAATGCTGCCCATGTGGCTTCACTGGGTCGTTTCCTGAGGGTACCCAATGGAGTCCACGGCAACCAGTTTATGGCCTACGACAGGCGCCCTGTGAGTGGCATGACACACTGAGGACTACACTTGCGGCTCTTGGCTTCGTTCCCTCGACTGTTGACCCTTCGCTATTTCTGCGCACAGACACTTCTCTACTGCCGTTCTACGTTCTCGTGTACGTTGACGACTTGGTTTTTGCTACTGCTAACACTGAGGCTCTGGCCTTAGTGAAGGCGGAGCTGTAGGAGAGACATACCTGCACTGACCTGGGTGAGCTGCGGAGCTATCTTGGCTAGCAGATCACCTGGGACAGAGCACGCCGCATCATCACCCTCACTCAGTCACACATGGTGCAGCAGGTCCTTCAACGCTTCGACTTCTCGTGGTCATCACCACATCCCACTCCTCTGTCTACCGATCACTCGCTCTCATCTCCACCTTCGGACGAGTCCATAGAGCTGAGTGGTCCGTACCCAAAGCTTGTGGGTTGCCTCATGTACCTAATGACGTGCACACGACCTGACCTCGCGTACCCTCTCAACCTCCTGGCTCGCTACGTGGCTCCCGGTAGACACCGAAAGGTGCACTGGGAAGCTCCGAAGAGGGTGACCAAGGCGGTGGTGCCAGAAGAGAGTCTGGTCAGACAGGAGGCGACACGAGTAGGGGGCAGACTCAGGACCAGACCAGGACGCTGCAGCAAACACCTGACCCAACGCAGCTACCTGACCAGACTCAGCAACCTGAGGAGACACAGTAGTCAGGGTGTACAGGCTCGACCCAGGCTGATGGGTGAACGTGGCCAGGTGCCGGCCCGTCCGAGTACACGAACAGTGGGTCACCCGCTGACCTCCAGGAGTGAACTGGTCAACCCACGCGTCCTGAAGGTCAGCTCCATTCACCAAGTTTGTGGAGAACGAGGGGAGGTGGAGGCCAGACAGAGAGCCATACGGGACCGCCGGACACGGCATGACCGTGGAGGAGTGTGCAAGGACTGGACCCCCAGAGGGGTCAGCCAAAGAAACTGCCACTGGCCGACTGAGCGGCGAGAGTGTGGTGCAGTCGCGAAAGAAGGAGCGGGAAGCACCCGAGTCAAGGGTGAAAGTGTGCAAGGCCTGAGCCGACGCGGTACCTGAGAGAGCAGACTCATCCGTACCTGGGGCAGCAGACTCACCAGCACCTGGAGCAGAAGACGCACTACCACCTAGAGCAGCAGCCCCAATGCCCGGGTCGGGCGGAATACACAGGTAACAGTCACCCTCAGCACTAATAGACACAGCATACATAGCAGCAAGGATAGCATCATAATCAAGATCAAAGATAGCAATCCCCCGACTTAAGCAGATCACCCCAGTGTGGGATCTCAGAGTCAGGAAACTGTGCACGCCAGGCGACAGTCAGGCGGCCAAAACAGCGCTGCGTGGCGTGCGGCCCTCCGCACGTCTCCCCACTGCGGTCGCCGGTGCGAAGAACGTAAGCGCAGGGACCAGCACCCCCAGACCTCCCACGCCCAGCGTACCACTCACGAAGCTGCTAGGGCGACAGGATCTCACGAGGGCGCTGCTGCTGCTGGCGCTGGCCACCGCCAAAGCCTCCGCGCTGCACAGCGCTACCCCGACCAGCACCACCGCCGCCGCAACCCCCACCGCCGCCGCCGCCGCCACCTCCACCCCCACTGCCGCTGCCTCCGCCGCCTCCACCTCCACCACCGCTACCGAAGCCCCCACTCCCACCACCACCCCCACCTCCACCCCCACCCCCTCCCCCGCCTCCACCGCCACCACCGCCGCCCCCGCCATCCCCTCCAGCACCCTTGCCCCCCTTGCTCGTGCCGCCGCGACGCCTCCCACTAGGAGCAGACGCAGCGCCGACCGACTCGGTGCCAACGAGGTCGACAGCAGCAGCAGAAGCAACAGAGGGCAAAAGAGGGACGGGGGAGCACCCCTCAAAGAAGGGGGCACGAGGGTCACCACGAGAGGCTCCTACAGCGACTATACTCTTCTCTGCTGCAAGGAGGCGCTCCTCGAGGCGGTCAACGGTGAGCGTGGTGGGGCAAAGGGAGAGGAAGTGGTCCCTGACCGAGCGGAGGGAGTCAGGGAGCCGGGTGACGAGGTAGTAGAGAGTGATGTACATAGGGGGGGGGGGTTCGCGGCGCAGAACTCGGCAGGAAGCGCAACGCGGTAGCGGGTGTCACTAGTGCGGAGGTGCGTAATGAGGTCAGCGACTGTGGCAAAAGCAGCTAGGTCAGGGAACAGGTACGGCAGCATGAGGCGGGTAAGGGCAGCAGTGGCAGGGGAGGAGTAGCGCGCAACAACAGCGTCGTACAGAGTCCAAGCGGTCTTGTACTGGCTAAAGTGTGCGCGCTCAGCAGACGGCAGGTGACTGCGAATAGCAAGATGGGCAGCAGCATCGCGCGTGGTCCACTGCGAGCGAACACTGTCAGCATCGGCAGCAGGTGCAGCAGAGGCGCCAGACGTGAGATCAAAAAGTGTGACTCCGTCCTTGCTATCGCACATCAGAAAGAGCTGGAGATCATCGACCCAGACCTCAAAATCGATCGCTCGACCCTCAGCATCGAAGGTAAGGACATTAGGGCTAGCCATGACAGCAGGAGCAGCAGTTGTAGCCTTGCAGTAGCAGTAGCAGCAGGAGCAGCGCGACTCGGCAGGGCGGCGCGGCTCGCAAGGGCGGCGCGGCTCGGCAGGGCGGCGCGGCTCGGCAAGGCGGCGTGGGTGCGGCGGTGCGCTTACCAGCGCCGGGAGGGGAGGGTAGAGGACGCGACTGGTGGGGCAAGGCTGTGGCGCGCTGGCAGGGTAGGGGCCGCGACAAGGCGGCAGGGCAGGGCCGCGGCTCGGCGGCAGGTCAGGGCCGCGTCAGGGCAGGGCCGCGACGGCGGGGCCGTAGCGGCGTCGACAGGGGCGGTCGGACCGACGGCTGCAGGCTCGACTGCGGCAGTAGAGCCGCTACGGCGGCAGCAAGGGCGACGGCTGCTGCAGGCCACGGGGCCTCGGCGGCTGCTATAAGGTAAGGGGCCGCGACGACGAGGCGCGCGGGCCGTGGAGGGCCACGACGACGGGCAGGCGGGCCGCGCAGGGCTGCGACGAAGGGGCGGGCGGGCCGCGCAGGGCCGCGACGAAGGGGCGGGCGGGCCGCGCAGGGCCGCGACGAAGGGGCGGGCGGGCCGTGCAGGGCCGCGACGAAGGGGCGGGCGGGCCGCGCAGGGCCGCGACTAAGGGGCGGGCGGGCCGCTAAGGGCCGCAAAGGGCGGCTGGTCGGGCCGCTAAGGGCCACGACGGCAGGGCGGGCCGCTAAGGGCCTCGACGGCAGGGCGGGCCGCTAAGGGCCGCGATGGCAGGGCGGGCCGCTAAGAGCGGCCGTAGGGCAGAGCCCGATGCGCGCTTCGGGCAGGGCAGGAAAAAAAAATCAAGTGGTGGGCCCTTAAAAAAAACGGTCCGACTAGGGAACCCGCTCTATACCATGTGAGAAAAGTACGAGGAATGGAATCAACTAGGAAGCAGGTGGGTACAAATGTGAAAACCTAAAAGAGTTGTACCCCATATTGTCAACCCCACTACAGCCTAGAATATGGTTCTGACAGGATTTCCACACCAAGATCCGAATCTCGCGCCATGCCGTAGGTACTGCCTATGTAGGTTCCTCGGTTTCTGCATATGGCGGTCTCCGTTTCGATTTTGCAAGGATAGGCATTTTATCTAGCTGAAGTCCCTGGCCGATGGTCACGCCGTTTTGGTATCACGTTAAGCAGAATGTGTAGGGTGGATCGGGAAACTGGGGACTAAAGAGAGGTATTTAGGTTTAGGATGGTAAGGCAGATCACTAGTTGTTGCTGCGATGATCTGGGATACGGTAGCCCTTTGGACGTGTGGTTGTTGGAAATGTCGAGTGAGTAGAGAGGTGAAGCGATAAGGCTGGGTTGGTTGAGTTTTTTTACCCTACATTGGGCAGCCAATCATAGGGAAACCAGTCGTTTAGACTATCCCTAAATAGCCCCTCCGTCTGGCAACGTTGTCGCTTTTCCTGAAAGTAGAAATGGCAATGCGGCCCCAATGGTGGGCGTTTTACCTGAGAGGCCCTGTGATGATGGAGTAATCATTGGGCTGCAGTCACTGTTTTCGTACGCTACGGAGTCAGCAACCTTCGTCAAACTTCCCTCCTTTTTCGTCAGAGAAGGCGGGAAAACTGAGTCATCGCAAGCAGCTCGTTTGTGATGGGGGGGAGAATGATTCGTCGCATGAGGTCGTGCACCGTTTTCCGCCAATTTTCCCGCACCATTGTCTTAAATTTATAGACTAGTAAATTTGCTATCGAACAGGACCTTAGCTAGATTCTATAGCTCGACGGATGACCGCGATCTCTTCATCGAAATCAACGGCCATTGCTCAGTCGCGATTAAATTTCGCGCCAGAATGTTCCCTCCATTATCGCGTCACTCCGAGTCCTCCCCCACTCTTGCCCTCGAGGTCACGGCTTTCTCCCTTCCGTCGTCGCTCTCAGCATCCCTTCACCGTGTTCTTCCCAACCGGCTTACCGTCGTTCGTCAATCGGAAATGGCACCTTCAACATTGGTGACGTTTGCGCGGTGTATGTCGTTGGGCCCTGGCTTGCAGGCCCCTTCTATACAGGTGCAGGGCTCGGCACGCGGCTCGACATCCTGCAGGACGGATGCCCCAGTTTAGCTGACATTCGTCGCCGCCTCTACACTCAGCTTCCATTCGACCATGCCACCCGCTAGATCCATGTCCTTACAGCTCCTCCTCCTCTCATCCTTTACTTCTCCCACGATTTTGTCGAAATATGATTGACATATTTTATAACTGCTTGTAGTTGTAGTGTAGTTATTGTGCTTTGTAGGTGGTGCACCAATTCCATTTGCTTTCCTTGTATAAGTCTTGAAACTTTCTAATGCAAATCACTTTTCCAACTCACTCGACTCTCACCCTTGGCACGAACTTCTCGAACTCGTTGGCCTAGGCTACTAAGCCTAGGCCGTCCTATTCTCTCACCTACCTACCAAGCTAGTATTTTGATAGATTTTGTACGCGAGCACCCAGCCTCCAGCGCGACGTCTTGTACCGGTTCTACATTCGCGCTCTTCCTTCGGGTTCGCGTTTCAACTTTGGCGCAGACCGAGGGATTTGTTCACTCTGCACTGCCGCACCCACAGAGACCATAAGAGTGGAGTGGCCCTTGCAATGATTTCCGCTCTCTCCTCCGTCGCTCGTCGTCACCTCCGCTACTATCCTCCTCCTGAGCTCTTACTCTTTCCGCTCGCCCCCGACCAGGTGTCCCCCTGGTGCCTTCTGGTTGGAGCATATTCAAAAGCTATTTGGAACGTGTGGTGTGAACACAAGTTCCAAAATTCGCCCTGTCAGAACATTATAGCTTATGCTGTTGTGTAGGCTATAGTGGGGTATCCCATAGGGGGTACAACCCAATTAGGGTTTCCTATTTGTACTCACTTCATTCATAGTTCATTCATTCTCGTTCTAGATTTCTCATGGTATCGAGCAGGTTCCCTCGTGGGAACTGTTCCTAGGGCCCACCGTCTTTTTTTTCTGCCCGGAGCGCACTCTGCCCTTGCCCGAGTCGCGCTCCCCTCTCTCTTGGCCCCTAGTGGCCCCTTTAGCCGCCCGTCCCGGCCCTTAGACGCCCGCACGCCGCCCGTCTCGGCCCTTAGACGCCCGCGCGCCGCCCGTCCCGGCCCTTAGCCGCCCGTGCGCCGCCCGTTCCGGCCCTTAGACGCCCACGCGCCGCCCTTCCCGGCCCTTAGACGCCCGCGCGCCGCCCGTCCCGGCCCTTAGCCGCCCGCGCGCCGCCCGTCCCGGCCCTTAGACGCCCGCGCGCCGCCCGTCCCTGCCCTTAGCCGCCCGTGCACCGCCCGTTCCGGCCCTTAGACGCCCGCGCGCCGCCCGTTCCGGCCCTTAGACGCCCGCGCGCCGCCCGTCCCGGCCCTTAGACGCCCGCACCCCGCCCGTCCCGGCCCTAAGCCGCCCGCGCGCCGCCCGTCCCGGCCCTTAGACGCCCGTGCGCCGCCCGTCCCGGCCCTTAGCCGCCCGTGCGCCGCCCGTCCCGGCCCCACGCCGCCTGTGCGCCGCCCGTGCGCCGCCCATCACGGCCCCGCACCATCGTCCCGGCCCCACGCCGCCCGTGCGCCGCCCGTTCTGGCAACGCGCCGCCGTCCCGGCCCCACGCCGCCTGTGCGCCGCCCGTACCGGCCCCGCACCGTCGTCCCGGCCCCACGCCGCCCGTGCACCGCCCGTCCCGGCTCCGCACCGCCGTCCCGGCCCCACGCCGCCCGTGCGCCGCCCGTTCCGGCAGCGCGCCACCGTCCCGGCTCTTCGCCGCCCGTGCGCCGCCTGTCCCGGCCCATCAACTGCTGCATTGCCGAGCCGCCCCCCCCACCGAGCCGCCGAGCAGTCCAGCAGCCGAGCCGCAGCCGAGCCGCCGAGCAGCCGAGCCGCCGAGCAGCCCAGCAGCCGAGCCGCTGAGCGTTCGAGTCGCCCTTCTTCCGAGCCGCCCGACCTGCACAGTCCGGTGAGCACAGCTCCTTTTGTCACTGCACTGCCCCCCACCCTACTGTTTGCACTACTGGTCGTCTAGGGTCATGGCTACTCCTAGTGTCCTCGCCTTTGACGCTGAGGGTAGGGCCATTGACTTTGAGGTCTGGTTAGATGACGTGCAGCTGTTCTTACAGTGCGATAGGGAAGACAGCCTTTCTCTCTTTGACCTCACCTCTGGTACTGCCCCTGCCCCTGCTGCTGATGCTGATGCTGACGCCAGTGTTCGCTCCCAGTGGGCCACGCGCGACGCTGCTGCACATCTTGCTGTGCGTCGCCACCTCCCTACCTCTGAGCGTGCGCACTTTAGTCAGTACAAGAGTGCTCAGATCTTGTACGATGCTGTAGTTGCGCGCTACTCCTCCCCTGCCACTGCTGCACTGAGCCGTCTCATGCTACCGTACCTCTTCCCTGACCTTGCTGCCTTTCCCACAGTCGCTGACCTCATTACGCACCTCCGCACTAGTGACACTCGCTACCGCACTGCACTACCTGCTGACTTCTGTGCCAAGAACCCCCCCCCCCCCTGTACATCACCCTCTACTACATAGTCACTCGTCTCCCTGACTCCCTTCGCGTAGTCACGGACCACTTCCTCTCAGTCTGTCCCACCACTCTCACTGTCGACCTCCTCGAGAAGTCCCTCCTAGCGGCCGAGAAGGGCATCGTCGCTGTAGGGGCCTCTCGTAGTGACCCGCGCACCCCCATCTTTGAGGGGTGTTCCCCCTCCCCCCTTCTGCCCTCTGTTGCCTCTTCTGCTGCGGCCGACCTCCTTGGTCTTGAGTCGGTCGGTGCGGCGTCTGCCCCTAGCGGGACACGCCGCCCTGGCAAGGGCAAGGGGGGCAAGGGCGCTGGAGGAGCAAGCGGGGACGGTGGGGGTGGAGGTCGAGGCGGCGGAGGGAGTGGGGATGGCGGTGGGATTGGAGGTGGGGGTGGAG